ATATAGTTCAATCTATTGTATTTTATTATATGCATTACTTATTAAAGAAGTGTAGTTCAATATATTGTCTTTTATAATATGAATTACTTTTAAAAAAAAAACATAGTGAAAATTGTTATGCATTAAGGCATCCTAGGAGTTGATCGAATTTTGATCAAATGAATGGTTGATTTGGATTCTTAATATATACAAGTAGTTCCAATTGCGAATGGGTATCGAGACCGGAAAATCAGAACACCAAATCGGACCAGATGAAAAAAATTGAAAAAAAATTGATTGACCAAAAAAGTCAACAAACTGAATCAGAACCAAACTTATTTATTATAATTTGTATTTTTTTAAAAATAAAAAAAATAATAATCTGGTTCAAAACCGAAACCGATCAGAACCGGACTAGAATTAGTCAGAACCGAATCGGCCAGTTTTAAAAAAAATATTCATTTGAACTGGACCAGTTAAATAGTACCAGTTCCGATTCCAATTTGAAGTGCAAACCGGACCGTGCCCACCCCTAATTCCAATCATTGCGATCAAATGAATGGATGAGTAAATGAACACATTTTAACAATCATTATATGCCTGTGGAACTCTTCGACATTATATACTTGCGGAACTTTTCGGCATTATATACTTGTGGACTTCTTCGGCATTATATGCTTTCAGTCAAGGAGATGCAATATGTGTAATAACATATTAAGGATGAAACATGAACTAAGGTGATTTTATTGGAGAAGAAATAAAAAATTTAATCTTTGTGGCATCAAAATGTACATTATTTTAAATAAGTATTGCCAACGGGGTTTAGTTGAGTTAGAAAATGCATTGATTTGATTACCACTAGTCTTAAGTTCGAAACTCCATGACATCGTGGTAGTGTGTATGAGAAACCCCCTCTCCATTATAGTTTATACTATCACTTATAGTATAAAAAAATAAATAATAAGTATTATGTATTTTATTAAAGTTTAAAGTAAGTAATGAGCTTATTATGTAGATAGTTAGGTTTTAGTCTTTAAATATCTTGAGTAATACCCAATATGGTTTCCACTCGTTTTGTGATTCGAAACCTTTGCGGCATCGAGTGTGTGTAATGTGTGTGACTATATTACACAATTATTGTTGTCATGACCCAACTCCACTAACAAGACATTGTCCGCTTAAATTTGGCCTTATTAGAAATATAAATAACAAAAAGTGAACTAACTTCCATGGATTCATTGATTCATTATTTCTTCATTTCAGATTGGCTTATTATCACAAAAGGTCCCTAAGGTTTACGAAACTATCAGATTGCATCCTTAATGTTTTTTTGTGTCACTTATGGTCCTCAAGGTTAGTATGTGTGATCACAAATGGTCCCTGCCGTTAGGTTCCGTCAAAAACTCGGTTAGTTTGCTGACGTGGCATATATACATATCACAAAACATCCCTGAGGTTAACACATCTATCACAAATGGTCCCTGCAAATTTTTTTAATTTTTTAATTTAAAATTCATAAAATTTTATTTTTGTTTTATATAATATTTAAAAATATATATTGTATTTTAAATACATATGATACTATATTTTTGAAGATGAGGGCTCCACATATATGCCACACCAACAAACTAATGAAGTTTTTTTAAAAAATAATCTAAAATTCATAAAATTTAAAAATGAAAAAACCATTTATATAAGGATTTTAACCTTGAGGACCATTTATAAACCCTAAACCCTTGATTTTTTTTCATTTTTAAATTTTATGAATTTTAAATTAATTTTTAAAAACTCCATTAATTTGTTGATGTGGCATATATGTGGAACCCACATCTAAAATAATATAGTGTCATGTGTATTTAAAATACAATGTATATTTTAAAATAGTTTAAAATTCATAAGATTTAAAAAAGAAAACCAAGATTTTATGAATTTTAAATGAAAAAAATTAAAAAAAATTGCAGGGACCATTTGTGATAGATGTGTAAACCTCAGGGATGTTTTGTGATATATATATATGTCTCATCAGCAAACTAACGGAGTTTTTGACGGAACCTAACGGCAGGGACCATTTGTGATTACACATACTAACCTTGAGGACCACCAATGACTCAAAAAAACATTAAGGATGCAATCTGATAGTTTCGTAAACCTTAGGGACCTTTTGTGATAATAAGCCTTTCAGATTTGATGGACAATTTCTTTTGTCATGTTGTGCTATCTTTTTGTATAATGCACACTTTATTTTCTTCTTGTTTTGAGCCAACTCAATACCACTTTTTATCTTTTTGGAACCACTAATATTGTCCTTCTTTCTACCTTTAGTTGGTGAGATATTGAGGTCCAAAAGCAATAATTGAGAGGAATCAATATTAGTACTACATGGATCACCTATTGTTGAGGGAGGAATTGTTGCATGCTGATTAGAATTTTCTGACAGTTTCTTGGACAATTCATTTATATCTTCCATGAAAGTTGTGTATGCCTCATTTGAAATGCTGCAATGCAAGCCAACTTAGTTGCTTGATGACACATATGGCTAAGTCGCAAAGCCTCTAATTCTTCTTTACCATCATTTGTCACCAAAGTTTTAAAATCCACTATCCTAAATATGTTTGCTTCTTGTCTCCATCTTGGAAGAATAAAATGATCAGGTAATGTACCTATATCAAGGCGGACATATAATTTCAAAAAATGTCGACAAAGTATTCCAACAAACTTAAAATTTTGACATTCACACATACCTTTGTATGTTTGCAAATTTAACTTAACCACAAACTCTTCATGCTCTCCAAGTTTTGTTTTCACTAGGTATGCATGTTATTCGTTGTCGCATGGCATTTGTTCAACTCTGTAGTGATTAACTTTACTACATTCATCCTTCACTTGTTGAAAACATTTCTAGTATACAACTTTGATGCATGTTTCAAAAGGAATTCTCCTTCATTGACAATGCAATACTTGTGTTCTGATTCAAAATCTTCATCACTTTCTCTATCCATGATCTTCTTCAATGCTTGCTCATATTTGACAATAAACTCTTTAAGATGTGTTGTCGGTGTAACGAATCCATCAAAAAAATAATTAATGCCCTCACTACGACCAGTAGTGTTCATTCCTACAAAAAATATGCCACGATTATAAACAGGAACCCAAGAAGAACGTATATCATATAAACTATTCAACCAATCATCATTATCCAATTCATATTCTTTCCTCAATTCCTTCCACTTTTCTTCAAATTCCTCTATCTTGTATGTCGACCAAATACATTTCTTCATCAAAATTTTGAATTTGGTCTCTTTGAAGTACACATGTGACAATGTTTCAGCAAACTTCTTCTTAATATGCCAAAATAATGGTACGCCATGCGTGATCGAGCATCCACCCAAAAGAAATTAGTTGCCCTTCCATTTTCATCAGATTGAATGGCATAAAAAAAATTTGAGGATTCTCAGCTTGATTTTTCCTAAAGTAAGTAAGGACTAACTGTGCATCACCTTCATCCAGTTGTCTGTGCCGAACATTTCTCAAGTGGGAATAATAATCTCTATTGTTATAACCAATGTGCGAGCCACCAAGGATTGAATGAACTTTTGCAATTGGCAAATTTTCTTCATGAAATGTTTCAGTTAGAATTTTAGCTCCTTTCAGCATAACCTTATTTGACTTCATTTTAATTTTTTTTCCGCAGTAACTGGCTTGTGATTGTGAGAGTCCTAGAAAATTGAAACTTTCCATTTGTCTGACCATCTATCAAGCTTAATTCGCATACTTGCTTTGCACCCACATTTCATAGTGGAATAATTTTTACCTGTTTTTTTTCATATTCTCAATCTCACTTGTGTCTCTCTCATCATTCTCTTCTGAAGTCTTCTATGATGTATTTTTGGGCGCATATTTCCCTTGATGTGCACAAACAAATTGTCTACTTGTTACCTCATCTAAACCCCTTCTTGTCTTGGATGAAGATCGAGTTCTAATCTAGAATCCCTTTTAGCAACCATAATCTTCATATGATGCTTTTAATTTTCACTTTATTTTTTGGAGTAGTTGCTTCACCATTCTCCATTTGAACTATCTCCTCTACCTATTGAACATATTAATCATTCTTAACAATGCAACTTAAAAAGACATTATACACATGTTACTAAGAGATATATAAAAATGAAGAATCTGATTCTCTTTGTAGCAAAATATTTACGCAAAAAAGAAATTATTTAGCATGTGAAATACCTATCTCTTAATGCAAATTTAAATATCATGGAGTATTCAAAAATAATTCTTTTAATACTATTGTTTGTTAATCATAAAACATTGTTTTTCTAATTTTTATCCGAATTTGTAATTCCTAAATCTTTCCTTAATTTTAAGAAGAAATTGTTTTTCCATTGCATTGGTGTAGTTAGCTCATCGAGAACAGTAAGGAGTGAGTGACAACGTGGAGTGAATCTAACCCCAAGAAACCCTTACCTCCTAGTACATTTTGAAATAATCCTCACTTTGACTCCACATTGTAACTTACTTTTCGCTCTTCTCATCTTAAAAAAATTATATACCACTCTGATTATCTAATATTATATATAAGACAGTGAAGGATTTTTTCGTATTTCTAAAAAAATATTGGGTGTTCATGTAGATTAAAAAAAAAAGGGAAAAGGATGAGGAGGCTCAATAACTTTTCTCCCCCTCCTCCTCTCCCCCATGTGAACACACCTTTCCAAATCAAATCACTACTCAGTCATGGAATTTTTGAGATCTTGAGCAACTCAATTAGCCAGCGGCTCAGGTGGGAACAGTTTAGGGTTTGTTTGGTATTTGATAGAGAATAGCCCACTCAATTAAGGACTGATCATTGTTCGGATTGTTTAGGGTTTGTTTGGTATTTGATTTGAGTCCAATTTTATAAACTCAAACACAAATTTTAAATCCAAAGGCCCAAAAACTCGTTGGGCAGGCCCATTTTTAAAAACCCAAACCCAAAACAAACTCAAAAAGACCCTATTATTGAAAACAAAACAAATGCGTTTTTCTTGAATTTTTTTCTCGCATCGTTCGCTACTGCTGGTTCGCTCGAGCTCACTTAAGCTTCAAGCTTCCATGGCAGAAACTTGAAGCTCTCTTGCTCCCTCTCTCTCCATCTCTCTCTTCATCCCTCTCTCCTACTCTCTCTCTCTCTCTCTACCTCTCTCCTACTCTCTCTCTCTCTCTCTACCTCTCTCCTACTCTCTCTCTCATTAATTCAAACCCTAGAAATTGGGGATTCTTCCAATATCAAAGGTCAATTTGCTTTTTCTATGCCTTTTCTCTGTTGGTTTCTGGAATTTTGTTGGATAACTGGGTTTTGTTTGTTGGTAATGTGAGTTTCTGTTTAAATTTGATAATGGGTTTCTTTTGTTTAAAACCATGTTGCCTTGCTTCAGGATACCAAGGGCTTTCAAGGTTGAGAGGTACAAAGACAGAGAAATCTTTGGGGTTGAAACTAAGAGGGGAGATCCTAGAGGATCCAAAGATCCAAAAAGAAATCGTACAAAGAGTTAGTGTTAGTTAGTCCTTCCCTTTTATAATTTAGAATTCAATTGTATTTATGTCAGTTAATCCTGCCCTTTTATATTCAGAATTCAACTGCATTTGCGTTTCATTTATTAATTAGGGGTTAAACCAAAGTTTCTCAACAACCAAGCACAACAATGTTATGAGACATAGATTATTTTCTTGTTAATTGATTTTAAGACTAATCATTCAATTAATCTTTTCGGTTTTCCTGAAATAAGGCATCAAGTTGTTGCTGTAGGGGTCACTCTTTATTTGATGTTGTGGCTTTCATTTTTTTACTCTAAAACTTCAGTTCAATTGCTATTGATTCTGTGATTGGCTTGTTTGTAGTTTTGACCAATCTGGGTCATCCAATTTTGTATTCTTTTGCAATTTGACTATCTTGCATCTACTCTGTCAGCTATCTATGATTTCAAAATCATTGCTTTGTACATCTTTGCATAATTCATACTGGATGGTTATGACACATGTCATTGATCTCGTATGTTTATCTTAAAATTCTAACCATGATCCAATGTTGTCCATGAAAAACAATTAAACCGAACAGAGGGAAACTTCTCTGTCTGGAGCTTATACGCTGATTAGAATATTAATCATGATCAAACAAAGGATAATATGATAGGCTTGTGAAAATGAGAAGATAAAGTTATGTTAGATGAATGGTATGAGTTTTTCCTGAATTTCATATGTGCTTAACTTCCTCCATCGTTTCTTCTACGTAGATTTCTTAAGGAGCTGGATCTTTTGTTTAGTTCCTCAATTTTATGAACTCAGCAGTGTTTTTGTTTAGTTATGTTTTCCTAGTAGTACATATTTGTAGTTTGATTTCAGCTGTTTAAATTGATTGTTATTGTTTTTTACATTGATTTAATACATAGTAGAGAGAAGTCAAACAAGGACCTTGAAAATGAGCTTGATGATAAAGCTAATTGGCCAAAGCCTATTGAAGACCCTTTTATTCATCTATTATACGAAGAGGCAAACAAAAAGGCTTGCAAACCAATACTTTAGATAAGAATGAGTGGGCTGGGATAGAAAAGAAGTTGTTTGACAAGTTTGGGAAGAGATACAATTGTGACAAATTGAAGCGGAAATATAACTGACTGCACAAGATTCATCGTGAGTTTGGAAAGCTCATTTCTCATACCGAGATGGGTTGGGACCCAAACATGAACACTGTTCAAGCATTTGAAGAAGTTTGGGCATCATATGTCAAGGTATGCATCTTGTTGTGTAACTTGTATTGTTTTGGTATCCTTCAATGTATGTGCATTTTCTAATGCCAAGACTGAAGTTTCATTGGCAAGGCTTAAGTGTAAGAGTGAGAAGGAAGTATCCTCTCCATATAGAGAATTGAGCACCATTGAGGATTCTATAGAAATATTGGAGGCCATGGAGGGAGTGAATGATGATGCTCATGTGAAAGCTTTGGATAAGTTTACTAATTTAGATTGGAGGAAGATGTTCTTGAAGATGTTGGATCCGCGGAGAAGAGTGTGGCTCAATAGCCTACTAAAGTGAACGAGAGTGAATGATTAGTCGTAATTTATTTAGATTAAATGATTAATTGAGCTTGACACTTATATGTGATTAATTGTCTTGGTTTTCAGCTTGTGGTTTGTAATTAATGGGAGATTGGATTGGAGTTGTGAAAACTTTTAAATAGGTTCAATGATTATGTATGAAAACCTTGTGGATATGCTCTCTTTCTCTTGCTTACTAATAAGTATTTGGAAGCACACAATACCTCCTGATTTCTTGCTCATTTTTAGGTGCTTTCTCCTATGTGCCTTCTTCGTCTATCGTTGTTTATTCTTCAATAAGTATGCCAATTGAACTTGTTGATCATATATGGTACTAAAATATGGATGTTAAAAAAGTATGTTTAATTTTTTTAAAAATAATGTTTATTAAAATATATTAATTATAAAAAAAAAATTGTTTTCAAGAATTCAACCAGACAAGTTTTCAAATTTTAAAGATTCAAAAACAGTTTTCAAGTTGCATACCAAACAACTTTTTGAATCTTTAAAAATGAATTAAAAAAACTCCATGTTTTAAAGAAAAATCACAGTTTTTGAGTTCCCTACTTGGATAGGATATCAAACAGACCCTTATCTTGCTGAGATCATCATCAACAACACCCAGGCTGCCCTTCATCCTATTTCTAAGACAACTTCAACCTTGTGGGGTTTGCAGCTTATGCACCAAACAAAAAATTCTTTGTGGAATTGTTACTACCACGTAAAATGGGTCTACTATGGTGTTTGCTTCTATACTAAATAGCTCGGCTTTGGCATTTACTTCCACTTCAAATGGATCAACAATGGCACTTATAGGTTCAACGAAATGGATCTACTTTTGTGTTTGTAGGTTTACCATATAGTTTTGGATTATGATGTTTCCAATGAAGCCCATGATATAATGACGACCAAAATAATCCATAGATAATTGACCATCAAAATAATGTGGATCATCCATACAATGTGTGTCGTTCGGACATTGAAATATCGTCGATCAGTCATCAAGGGGTTGTCGTTTGACCGTTGATCACCCATCGAAAGGAATATTGTTCGGCTATCAAAACTGGTGGCGGTCATCCATCGAAAGGTGATTATTGAAATATTGTCAATTGGCATCGAAGAGGTGCATATCGTCCATGCAGTTCTTGTGTTCTTGATTCTTGGGTACTTAGGGCCCGTATTGTAACGTTTTTGTGAGAATATTTTAAAAAAATGAAAACAAGAAACTAATTTGCATTTTCAAGATATGAGAATATGTCTGGTAGCTTAAGTAGAATACAGTTTCAGAAAACAAAAACAATGAAAGTGTGTTTGGTAACATAAACAAATAAAATAAAATAACGATATTTTTTAAAGGCTAAAATTATCATAAACAATGAAAATGTATAATTTAACAAATAAAAAAAAATCGAATGTTTTTTTAAAGGATAAAATTATCTTACTAAATTTTATTAATGTTGCAAATCAATATAAGATAAAAACCTCGCGTCCTCCCTTCCATGGCTGTGGAGAAGGTCTAAAAAAGAAACCATCCTCAACCCCACCTTGTAGTATATTCACTTTTTTCCCTGTAGAAAATACCCATCCCTCTCTCTCCCCCCTTGGTTTTGCAGTTTGCTGGTTCTTAGGCATCAATTGACAATGTGGTAGACTAGCCTGAACGTAAGGGTCAATGGTGGCACTCAATGGTTGCAGTCGATGGTGGCATTTGGAGGTGGCGGTCGAAGACGATGGGTCGGAGGAGATGGGTTTCAAGAGTGATGTTCCTCAATTCCTAGGAGAGAGAGAGAGTGAGAGAGAGAGAGGGACAAATGATTTCCCTTGTTTTCTGAAAACATTGTTGTTTTCAAGTTTTGCTCATAACTTAGATTTGTTTTCAGAAAACAGATTCTGGATTTCTCAAAAATGCTCCACTAAACGTGTATTCCAGAAAAATAAGAAAGGGAAAATGAAAATTGGGCTGTGAAAACGATACTGAACGGGCGTTTAGTTTCTCGATTTATCTTTTTCTAATTTGTAGCTAAATTTGCAAATCCCAAACATTCCTTAATTTTTCAGGAAGAAACATTTTTCCATTGCATTGGTGTAGTTGGTTAATTTGAGAACAATAAGGAGTGCAACATGGAGTGAACCTAGCAAACACCAAGAACCCTTACCTCGTAGTTCATTTCGAAAACCGTCGCTTTGACTCCAGATATTGTCACTCACTCCTCACTCTTCTTGTGTTAAAAAAAAAAAAATTAAATAAATTTATATGCCACTCTAACATTATATATATGACGGTGAAGAATTTGTTCGTATTTCTAAAAAAATGGGTGTTCATGTAGATAAAAATATAGTGTAAGTAATATATATAAAAGCTCATAAGAATAAAGTAAAGTATAAGTTGGTTTGTAAGGGTGTGCAAAGTGGAGATTGTAGGTTTAGCTCAATTGCATTTTACTTTTATTACTTCGTTTTTAATTTATTTTAATAAGGCAACACTTGAGGTTGCAGCCAATATTTCAAGAGTAGGGGGGCAGCCACGTATGGGATCAAGTGTGGCATAAGTGAATTTTTGATATTCTTGCTTTTGATTTAAACCTTACTATTCAACTTTAATAAAGCATCTCTCTTTCATTGGCTGGAAAAAAAAAAAATTTATTTTAAGAGGAATGCATTGTCAAAGGACTTGCTATACACGTGTACACGTTCTCATGCCTTCCAAAAAACAAATGATTTTTTCTCTTTCTTCTCTCGGTTGCCTCCCTCTCTCTCTCCCTTTCTTTTTTTAATTAGCTTTTCTCTCTCTCTCCCTCTTTTTTCTCTCCGCCTGTCTCCATCTCTTTTTCCATCGCTCTCCCTCTTCTTCTCTCTGTTGCCTCCCTCCTCCTGCTTCTTCTATTCTCTCTCTCCCTCTCTTCTTCTCTCCGCCTGTCTCCATCTCCCTTCTTTTTTTTTTTCCATCGCTCTCCCTCTCTTCTCTCCTCCTCCTGCTTCTTCTACTTCTTATTTTCTTTTTCCCCTCCGTCTTCTTCTCTGTGTCTGTCTCCATCGATGGGTTGTAAAAACCCAAACTTTTTGTAACACAAAAACAAAAACCCCAAGCTTTAAAAACCCAAACTTCTTCCTCTCTGTGTCTGTCTTCCCCCAAATCACAGTTCTCTCCCTCATATTTCTTAACTTTCTTCTCCTTTTTTGTGTTCATTTGATGGGTAATGATTAAATCAGCAGGAGAGAAACGCAGCAATTGTGGGAATCAGAAACACAAAAACTCAAGGAGAGAAACCCAGAAATTTGCAGCGTCATAGAGAAAAGGAGAGAAACACAGAAATTTTTTTGGAGAAACGAAGGGAAAAAACAAGACTAATAGGACGAAGGGGAGAGAAAAGGAAGACAATAACTCGCGAAGAAAATAAATAACTAGCCTAGATTGATTTGTGTTTAGTTGTTGTCTGGGCTTAGCCCCAGTTTGTTAAGAAGTAGAAGAAGCAGGAGGAGGGAGGCAACAGAGAGAAGAAGAGGAAGAGAGATGGAAAAAGAGATGGAGACAGGCGGAGAGAAAAAAGAGGGAGAGAGAGAGAGAAAAACTAATTAAAAACAGAAAGGGAGAGAGAGAGGGAGGCAACCGAGAGAAGAAAGAGAAAAAATCTTTTTTTTTTTGGAAGGCATGAGAACGTGTACACGTGTATAGCAAGTCCTTTGACAATCGCTTTTGAGCGATTGTGAATAGCATTCCTCGATGATTTTTAATAAAGGTGTTAACCCTTAAACTGCAGGTCATTTAGCATGGTGTCACACATGGTTGTCGACGACCGGCAGTGGTGGCTGGCTGGCATATCCTAATTCATTTAAACTTAAATTTTCTTAAATTAAAGTGGGAAATGTGTCATTCGAATAAATAGGGGACGTGGAGGGTATAGACAAATTGGGTAATACAAGTACTTAATAAGATTGTGAAGTATTCATTACTTATTGACTTAGAACATTGCCTGCCGTATGAAATACAGCAATATATATTTCATCAAATTCATATTGCATGCAAATCACAAACGTTCTCCCTGTCTTATTTTCCTCGATGAAAAATTCCAACCTTGATTATTTCTACCAAGGATGGGTCCAATAAAAGGTAATAAAAGTCAAAGATTGCCACACACATCCAAAAAAACAAAAAATTTCACTTTCTTATGGTATATATGGTATATATTTGACAACATCGATGGCTGCTTTTGATTTGACTTTTGTTACAAACCATTCATTTGTGTCAAATGTATTTACTTTATAAAAAAAATTATTAGGGTTGCCAACCGCCGCCACCTCTTACATCCCTCTACCATCCAAATCAGCGCCACTTCGCCTCTCTCTCTCTCTCTCTCTCTCTCAATTAAAATTTTCAATACAGTCAAAGCAAAATCGATTTGTCTTACAATTGGAACAGTGAACATGTACAAACTTGTTAGGCTTGTCCTACAAAACACAAACTTTTCATTTCACAAAGAACGTAGTTGACCATCCATAAGAATTTAGAACAACACCAACAGAGAGAGAGAGAGAGAGAGAGAGAGAGAGAGATCACCTCTTTCAATTTACAATTGTTCATGGGGGAAGGCAAAAGGAGGAGAAGATAATTTTTTTTCCTTCTAAAATGAGGAGTCAATAAATAGAATAAATTATTATTTTTAAAAGTATATAAAACCTGAAGGCGCAAAAAAGTTTTTCGTGTCCTATGGAAAGCACAATTAATCATGCTTTTAAACTATAATAATTACTCTCACTAACAGTGAGGTGACAAGATGGAAGTTGATATTAGCATTGGACCCAAAGGTCGTGCCCAAATTTCAATAGGCACAAATAAATTTGTTCTTAGACATACATTTATTGTGTTTTTTTTGGAAAAGACATCTTAAAATATTTTTTGTGCCAAATGAAATTGAAAAGACATAAACCCTTCTTTCGTGCTCTTTGAAATGTGCCCATAGAGGAGTTTTGTAGTAGTGAGATAAGTACAAAGTAAAGTATAAGTTGGTTTGTAAGCAAAGTGGAGATTGTAGGTTTAGCTCAATTGCATTTTACTTTTTTTTTTTTTTTTTTTTTTACTTTTTTTAAAATTTATTTTAATAAGGCAGCGCCCTAACTGACCCCTCTGACTCCTACCACCCCGCCCACGGAAGGTGGACTGAACTCCGCTGCTCGATGAACCGGCTGTAGAAGAAGATGCCCCGCCCCGGGTCTGACCATGTCCTCTACCGCTTTGCCCATGCTGGGCCCCCAGCTCCTGTCCGGTAGTGTCACCAGTAATAAGGAGTGGACACTCACTCCTGTAGTACCCTGACTGTCCACAACTAAAACAAGTCACCCCGGTCCTCTGGGGAATACTACTATGCTGTGCACGTTGTGGGCAATTCCTCTTGATATGTCCTGTCTGTCCGCAAAGGAAGCAGGCTGCATTGGTAACAGGCTGATATCCCGAGTGCTGGCTCCAAGCTGGTCGAGAGCCAGACCTACCGCTGCCTGAACTGGATCCCAGTCCTTCGGACCAACCACTACCTGCTGAGCTGGAGCTGGATCCTCCTCTCTTTGATGGGCCCTGGCTCGGTCCACCAAAGCCTGAAGTGTACCTGCAACGCTGGTTTCCGTCCATACTGTGAGCCTTGGCTACCCTATCTGCTGCTTCGGCCAAAGCCCTCATAGTGGGGTAGATGGTGGCAGTGGTCACCCCCTGTATGTCCCACCACAGGCCATTTTGGAAGCGTCTGCATTTTTCCTCCTCTGTGAGTACTGCCTCAGGTGCAAATCTGGATAATTCATTAAACTTCTGCTCATACTCAAATACTGACATAGTTCCCTGCCTCAAATTTTCAAACTCGGTCTTCTTCGCATCCTGATAAGAGTGTGGATAATACTGTATGAAGAAGACTCGCTGGAATTCCTCCCAAGTGATGGCAGCAACACTGGGGTAACCCCTCCTGATAGTCTTCCACCAATAATAGGCATTCCCTTTCAGAAGGAAGACAGACAACCGTACCTTGTCTTCCTCTGGACACTGTAAGACATCAAAAATTCTTTCCAAATCAGTAAGCCAAGCCTCAGCTTCAATAGGGTCTGCACTTCCAAAGAATTCTTTAGCCCCTAACTCCTTGACCCTCTTAATATCCAACCCTTCCACATTTCGTCTCCCTTGCCCTTGGAGAGCTGTGGCCATGGTCTGAGTGAACTGGCTAGTGAATTGATTCAGCACTTGTTGAAAATCCGGCACATTGTCTCCCGCTTGTTCTCCAATAGGTGGAGATGGAGGTGGAGATGGTGATGGAGATGATGGCGGAGTTGGAGATGGAGGCGGAGGATTAGGTCCGTATCTCTGTGTACGACCACGACCTCTTATTCTGCCACCATGGGGATGCATGGTTCTAAACAAAAGAAACCACAAAATCATTAGTACCAACACGCAAAAGAAGCATGAAAGTCACAAGAAAAGAAACCTAATGCTCTGATACCAAGCTGACAGGACCCGCCCCGAATTTCCTCGGAAACCGGGACGGATCCCGTCTATAAATCCGGCATTCCGCAGATGCCGGGCCCACTTACTAATAACCGAGACTTTCTACCAGAAAAATTTGGCAGAGTCTCCCCTGTAAACAGGACAAATCCCAAACTTCAAACCTGCCAAAAACACAGATAAAAACAACCCAACAGCCAGCATGAGCACGAAAAGTTATCGAAAATCCATACCTCACTTGTCGAAATCGGTTGAGAAACGAAGGAGAACGAAGACTTCGAAGTTTCTGAAATTTCCGGTGGTTCTCGTTGCTGCCGGCGTCGAAGCTGGAGTGGAACGGAAGGAGGAGGAGTTGGCGGTTCTAACCCAACCGGTCTGGTGGCTTGCCGTGAAATGTGGCCGAAGTTGCAGAGAGAGGGAGGTGGAATGGGTCTGTCGCAGAGGGAGAAGTCGGGGGGGAGAGAGAGAGAAATGAGAAAATGAAAAGGAATTTCTGATTTTTTATCCAAATTAATTTTGAAATAATTTCAATTAGGTCCTCAATGATTTTTTCAATCGTAACTTCTTCGTTTCAAGTCCGAATCGAGCCTACCGCGTGTCTACGGACTCGGCTCAGTACGACCTTCCTAAAAATACCATCCGTTGCTCCAAACTCTTCTCGGATAAAAATGACCCTTTTTGCCCCCACTTCAAGGGCAAAATTGGAAATTCCATTTTTAATTTAATTAATTAGTGAAATGTCCTAAATTTTGGGTCGGGATGTTACAGTTTCTTTGTAGTTTAATCGAAACATACCATCCACAATACTTGCTTTTCCAACTAAACTTTTATTTCTGAAAATAGAACAACCAAAATCATCAAAGTTCAAAGTGAACTTTGACTTTACAAGCCTAGTAATTGAGATAAGATTCTTCCTCATTGAGGGAACATAAACCACATCTTCTAAATCAAAAACAAAACCAGAATCTAGTTTAATCCTAACTACTCCAATATAATCTACTTGCACTTTATCTCCATTGCCTACGAACACCTTCACTTCATCCTTGTTTGGCAGCCTCCTCTTTATGAACCCCTACAAAGAATTAGTCACATGAATAGATGCACCACTGTCTAACCACCATGAATCATCAGTAAAATCAACTAAATTGGATTCAAAGCAAACCAAAACTTGATCAGTTTTACCTTTAGTTTTTTGTTTGTCCAACCACTTCTTATACCTTTTGCATTTCTTCTTCATATGCTCAGTTTTCTTACAGAAGAAGCATTTCAATCCCACTGGTTTCAGAGCATTTGGACTGTTATTATCCTTTTCCTTTTCTTTCTCTTTTCCAGCAGCAGTACCTTTGTTCCTATATTCCTTATTTTGCTTTGACTGCACCAGATTCACCATTCTTGCACCTCTTTCTCTTGTTATATTGTGTTCCTGTTGAACACATGTGGTGATAATATCATTTAGTGTCCAACTTTCCTTTTGAGCAATGTAGGTATCTTTGAGAGACTTAAACTCCTTAGGCAGTGAATTCAAGGCAAGATGAACCATATATCTTCATCTACATTCATTTCCAAATCCTGCAACTTAGTTCCAACATCAATCATATTCATGATATGAGCTCTCACACATCCTTGTCCATCATATCTCATATTAATCAACTGATTTAGTAAGGTACTTTTGATAGCTTTCTTAGACTCCTTGAATCTCTGTGCAATAGCTTCATAGTATTGTTTAGCATTCTCAGATTTGGGAATGCTACCTTTCACAGATGATGCCATTGACCTTTGCATAATTAGCATGCTCATACGATTAGCCTTTTCCCACTTGGCATATTTGGTTTTCACTGCTGCAGAAGCATCTGCAGCTGGTTCTTGAACAGGTTTTTCTCTAAGCACATAGTCATAATCAAGGAAACCTAAAGAAATCTCTCAATCTTGCTTCCATTTTTGGTAATTCGATCCAGACAGTGTTTCAATGGATTGATAGTTTGAAGGATTCAATGTAAACATATAACAAATAATAAATAACTATCCCCATTAAACTTTACTTAAACATTATCAATTCACACCTGTGGGTTGTGATTTGAGCATGTTCCTAAATACTGGATTTAGATTTTGAACAAACTTCCTGCACAAGTAGAACTTCTCATCTGTGGATTAAGAAGTTTTCTTGTTAGTCTGTTCAGTCCCTTCATCCATATTGTACCATCACATCTGTTATCAGTTTGTGTACTTACTATCTGTGGATATAAGTAATCACAAAAGGCTACCAGTTGTGATGCAAGTATAGATCAATTTTTCGATTGAAAATTACTCTTGCAACAATTAAGCAGCTATGGCTTACTTAATTTAAGCAATAATAATTCACAGTCTTTGATCAATAGTCTTTCAAGCATGATCGAGCAGATATTCTTGATGCCCTTGATCATACCTTATCACATAAGATATGCAATTGGTTAAAGTCTACATGCTTCATGACTTATGATCAAAATTTTATTTTAGCAGCAATTTTATATAAATATGTAGGTTAGATTAGAGAACAAGACCTAGTGCTTTGATACCACATGTAAGTTCTTTCAAGTCTTTGAATCTCAAATACTAACCTTGATAAGACATTATGAATAAGGATCTTCTTGGTTGTGAATAAGGATCTTCTTGTCCTACACGGCTCTTTATCTCTATCTCTGGATGGGGTGAGTTTTCTGTTATGAGTGTATTTTAGCCGATAGGGAAGGGACCTTATTTATAAGCATCTGTTCTAGTACCTTACCCATCAAAGAGTACTCGAACAAATTCTGTTTGCTTAGTAATAGGATGTTTTTAATCCATATTGAATTAGGAATCCTTAAGATACTCCTATCTCAGTGTAATCGCACTATTTGATTGAGTATCCTACTGGTATGAGGATTAATACTTCCTGATCAATTAGAGTTCCTCCAAACCAGATATGATTAGAAGACCACAACTTAGACTAAGACACGGATTTGTCTTACAATGCCAACCATCTGTTCGATGTAATGGTCCAAATAAAGGCTTAGCGGCAGCTTGCATGCATGTCTGTTCTTTTTTTATTATTTATTTATTCTTTAAAGTTATCAACCTTTCTCCCCAAGCAAAAGAAAAATAATAAAACAAAAAACAAAAAACAAAAAACAAAAGAGGAGGCCAATAACCCCCAAAGTCAAACATATTTCCCTCAAAGCAACTCAAATCCCCAACGCAAACCCTACCCACCCAAATAATTGAGATATTTAGTCATATACTCGTCGCTAGCTTTCTGCAAGAGCCTCGACGCTTCTTCAATTTTGTTCAACTGGAGTGAACTTGGACTTTTGTATTAAATTATTAATAATAGTATATAATACTGATTATGACCACGTGCAAGGCTGAGGGCACTTTGGCAACAGGTTCTGTGGAATTAGGCTTCATCAATTTTATTTTATTTTGCACTGGTCCAAAAACGACAGCGTTTTGGCCAGGGACTTAAAAAAAAATTATATGCATTGTGCTGCGTGCAGTAGCCCAGAAACACAGCAAACAAAAAGGAGTTTCGCTGAGGCATTTCCTTGAGCAGTTTGTGGGCACCTCCATGACAGAGCAGAGATACAAATTCTGCCACCTCCAAAGCGTTTTCCTGTTAAACTTAAATTTTTTTAAATTAAAGTAGTACATGTGTCATTCGAATAAATAGGGGACGTGGAGGGTATAGACAAATTGGGTAATATAAGTATTTAATAAGATTGTAAAATATTCATTACTTATTGACTTAGAGGACTGCCTGCCGTATGAAATACAGCAATACATATTTCACCAAATTCATGTTGCATGCAAATCACAAACGTTCTCCCTGTCTTATTTTCCACGATGAAAAATCCCCCCTTGATTATTTCTACCAACGATGGGTCGGATAAAACCTAATAAAAGTCAAAGACTGCCACACACAAAAAAACAAAAAAGCAAAAAAATTCAATTTCTAGATCTTTCTCTCATTTGCAGTCATGGCATGTGCAATACACCAAAAATCTTGTGGAAATCTACTTTTCTTTTTTGGATCATGCAGTCAATTTCCTGGATTCTAAGAAAGTCTTGGCGTTCATGTCATGAGAAGAAACAAAGCGAAGGAAAGTGGCAAAGTCTGTGTCCTTATAACGTGTAGGGTTGGCTTCGTCAATGAGTTTTGGTGATGGTCGAACCATGCTGTTGAATGGCAGGCTGTGCAATGAGGCCACAGAGATGCGAGACTTGCAGGAGTTGACAAGAACCCTGTGGAGTACGCTCTTGTATCTCCCATTGCTGAATATCTGTCCAATATTTTTACCACACGTAAAAGTCAAAATTTCATATTATATATGATTAATTTTGTTTGTAAACCGTTGAATCTAAAACATTAGGTCTTTTTTTACAATTCTTTTTTAGGAATGAGTTAACTAGGTGCATGCTCAACCAACACGTGGAGAGGCATTCTCATCCATCACATTCGAGACACTGTATACCTTGCAAATTAATAAGTAGGTGGCATGGGAGATAGAATTTTAAATTCGAAAAAAATATCTCGAATGCTATGTTAAACAACCACTGAATTCAAAGAAGCTTAAGTTTTACGAAATAGTCAGCTTAAATACGTATCAAACCCAGAAAAAAGTTTGTGAGACCCAAATGAGAAACTTTTGTAGATGACGGTATATTATCTGATATAGTGTCCAATTATAACACACATGATTAGACCGAGGGGTTCTCTATTTTGATTTTAGGGTTTCGATATTAAAAATTGTACAAGTGTTACATTTTGGTTGAAAATATAATACAAATACTATATCAGCATGTCACGTCTTCATGTTATTCTTGTTTATTCCTTTTAAAATAACACATTATTGTAAAATGAGAAAAGTTGCTTGTTCAACATTTATTGGTTAAATGTTTGAGATAACTATGTCACTATCATATGACTCATTGTTCACATAAGTGGATCTCATCACCTTTCTGAGAGAGATGTGGTTGAGTGTGTGGATACCAGCTTTGTAAATGAGATCTATATGAATTAGAATGTTATCATTCTATGTGTGGAATAAAATAAATTAAAAATAATAATTCTTTACTCTTCCAAAAATATCTGTGTATATTGGTAGCTTCTAAGTTTTATATAATGATTTGATGATGATTAGTATGACTTAATTAGGAAATCTTATTGGGATCTATGCAAGGATATGATGGTTAATTTGGTAATTACTGACCTCAAGATGATCACCAACATTGACAACGAATGAATTTGGAAGTGGTTCCACAGTTACCCATCTGCCCTCATGTTGTATTTGAAGGCCCTCAACTTCATCTTGAAGGAGAAGAGTGAGGAGGCCATAATCGGAATGGGGTGGCATGCCTAGTGTTAAATCTGGCTCAGGGCATGCAGGGTAGCAATTTGCCACAATGAGTTGGCTTCCATCTTCAAATTCCTCTATACTTCTGCTTTTTCTTTCAGCACCTTCTGTTGTTTCCTCCAATCCTAGGCTTTCCAAGATGGCCTCCATTAGCATTAGATACAAAAAATTTGTGCTCTTCGAGTAGTTCACGACTGCCTCCCTATATATATGCATGGTGGCACAATATATTAATGTGATCGCATTCAAATATTAAGCACTACACAGAGAGAGAGAGAGAAAGAGAGAGAGAGAGAGTCACCTTAAGTCCCCAGGAGAGGAAGGCCAAAAAGGCACAGTGTCTTCCAAAGGTTGGCAGCTAAGTTTCAGAAAGTCTCTCCAGCAGAACACTTTGTCATTGCTCTGGTTAAAGCTTGTTCCATACCTAGCCGGGGAAGCCATGTCCTTTGACATGTACTTTGCTCTCTCGTCGAAAGGGAGCTCGAAAAATCTTCTACTTACATCCACCATTCGAAGAATATCATCATCTTTGATACCATGGTTTACCAACTGCACACCAATCAAAACTTAATGATCAGGATTTTATTTTCAATCTCCTTACTTTTTGTATAACTAATTATGCATGGATCAATATAGAGTTTAGGGCATGTTTTAAACAAAATTCAATGCCCCGTTCAAAACCCAAGCCTGATCCGATTTAAGAAGCAGACTAAGATGACATGCATATGAACAAATACACACAACAATATGAAATAGATGATGTATACCAAGAACAACGCGCGAGAATGCATGTATGAAGTTAAATGAAGATCAACCTGAAAAAATCCGAATTCTCGGCAAGCTTTTTCGAGGGAGTGTATTGCTTGGCATCTATCTGAGCCTTGAAACTGAGTGAAATCAATAACTGGCAGCTTGAGGTTAAGGTTACCAGCATTGACCCTTGTGTCTCCCAAGTTGGGTCGTTCGTTGATGGGCAATATGTACTTGCTTGGAACTCTGGTCAGCCCTTTTTCACACAAGTGTCTCACTCCTTTCTGAAGGTATTGGATTTCTATTTCTTCATTTTCTGTGGTGGAGCTTTCAAGGATTGAACCCATTTCAAGTAACATATATTATAGTACTGACTAAGATCAAAGAGGGAGTTTGTTTATATATAAATACAAAGCAAAGAAAACTAAATGGCAAGAACCCCAAGGAAATTATTGGGTGGCTTTGGACCGTCAAGTTTGGGAGAGAGAGAAGAAAAGGGTTGGGTGGGGAGCAAAGGGAGGGCTGGAAGGCAATAATTTGAAGAATGATTTCAGAGGTGGTGTTCTACTTATAGGTAGAGGAACAATTGGACTAAATAAAAGTAGTAAATTTGTGAATTAAATGGAGGTCCCCATATGTATAAATTCCATTTCC